CTACGCCCGACTCGAAGGTGATTGTTCTTGATGCTGAACCAGGGCTGGACCATTATGAGCTAGGAGTGCAAAACAAACCCATCACGCCTGCACAAAAATTGTCAATGAAGGTATGTAATCCTAGTGATGTACATATGCTTCCTTTTCGCCCACTATTTTCGTTGTTTTCCTTCGTTCCTTTTTCCGCCACTTGACTTCTATTTCTTCTTTAATTAATTATATATTTTCATTTAAAATTTAATACCTAAAACTCAAGAAACCCTCTTCTTATTTCCTCTATCTGTTCGTTCTCCATAATTGCAGGGTACCACAAGGTTTGAGCTCCCTACAGCCGTCAACTACAGTGACGGAGAAGTGAGCTTTGCTCACTATATATTTGCAGAAGACCTTCCTCCTGATGAAGCTTTGGTCAAAACAATGATGAAATCATATACCATGCAAACATTATGGAGCTTATGCCCTGAGTCAAGCGTTGATGCTGATGTAAGTACTTTTGCGAAACGCCCCTAGTTAACATGAACGTGCTTAACGATTTTTAATCATTGGTGTTTTATTTCTATTGTGTTTTAGGTAATTACAGTGTTAGCTTGCCACTTGACCTTGGATGAAGTTAAAAGAGATACTGGTCGTGGAAGAGGAGTGTGCTTTCTGCCTACGGAATTGCAGGTAAGTGGTGCTTTTGCTTTGTAATTCTAATTCAGTTTACACAGGGTTGGTTGTTTATTAAGTAAGATTAGCGTTCAATGATTTAACTTCATTTTACTACCAGGATATCAATTGGCGTAGCCAGAGATATAATTTAGTGGGGTCCAAACATAACCAAATACGAAGTTTGACTCGATAGTAAAATCATTGTCTCGGAAAGAGGGGGTCCGTGGTTCTAAATTTACTAACCCCACCTTAAAAATCCACCATTCTTAATGTATATTCATTTTCCAAGTGGGGTCCATGGACCCCACAACCCTTAACCTAGCTCCGCCAATGAGGATATGGTCGTTAATTATGGCATGACATCTGCAAAGGCATTAGAGTTATATGATACAAAATTCCTATCAAAAGCTCATAACTGTAGAAAGGTTATGACTTCTCCACAATTCTTCCTTCTCATTTCTGCTTATTTAGTAGCGATTTTCACAACATATGTGCGCGTGAATTATGCCTGCCCTTCTACTTAATTTCTTGAATGAATTATGTCGGAAAACTAATTAGTTGATTGGATTGTTTTCTCGTACCTGTGAAGGTTTGTCTGCCCATGAAAGATATGATGAATGATGAAGGCATCCACTGGTATTTAGATATAATTTTGATGGACCAGAAACAAGTACACATTCTGGATTCATGCTCATCAAAAGAGCGCCAAACAATCCGTAGGAATGCAGTTCACACAATGGTATAGTTAAAATTTTGCCATTGAATTCGTACTTCAATACACGTGTTTGTAATTCAATTATGTGGCGTTATATTTTCCAACAAAATTTTGTAATTCACAGGTTTCTTTTTGAACTTTGCAGATTGAATTTCTGAACGACTTGTTCGATGCCTTACACAAGGAAGTTCAATCAACATGTGCACCACCAAAGATTAAGGAGTTTTCTTTGACCACTCCTGAAGTACCTACACAACAACACAAGTAAGAATGTATATTTGGTCATAATTTCACTAGAAAAATAAAATATTTGTGTCTTACGTAATGCATCTTTCTAAACAGGAATGATAGTGGGATCTGGGTTTGTGTGTGGATGATGGGATCAACATGGGATGATCACTATTATATTTGGGTAAGAAATCACCTACTACTTAGGCCCATTTATTTCTACGAGCACATTAAAAAAACTATGTCAACTATTGTATTAATACCTTATATTTTTTGTCCTTACAGCCATGCAATCATTTGAGAAGAATGCAGGTGGCATTATACCTAGTCAAAGAGCCTACCAATTACATAAGACACAAGGTGCTCAAGAAAGCAAATAAGAATGCGCCTAGGTTTGAAGCTCAGACACTTGAGTACAAAATAGCTTCCCAAGAGAGGAAAGCAGCTTCCCAGAAGAGGCTAATTCAGGAAAGCAGCTTCCCAGAAGAGGCGAATTCAGGGCTGAAGGATATCTAGTCGCATAGTGTGTTCTGCATTTTAGCATTTTTTGTTTCTTCCTTTCCAACGAATGCCCTCTTTATGGTAACGATTTAAGGACACGTTTATTATTTGGCGGATAGTTTGCAAGTTTTGGTGTGATTTCTTATTTATTAGAGGGAGGCTAGCAAATCAGCCGAATAAACACAAGTACACAGCCAGAGGCTAGTTTGTCAAACAGAAATGGAACCAGCCGAGAGGCAGAAATAGCGCTACAGTAATCTCACATTGCAGACAGATAGCCAAAATAGCAGCAACAAAAACAGCCACCTCTGAGATTCGCATCAAAACTAATAGAGATAAACTGGCCAGATTAGCTATTTTGTAGTACTTGCCTCGGGAAACTTATTCCCATCATGTCTTCACAAAGTAACCCGTCCAAATTTGCTGGAGGATCGTCCAACAACTAGCCCAATCAAGTGGACCCTTAAACCATTTTTCAAAAAAGAAAGAAGAACCCGAAACATGATTAAAAGCATCACTAGTGAAGAATGTGGCTAAAAATTTAATTAGGAACTTAGTCATTTCTTGTGGTGACTAAAATGAAAGAGGTCACATATCGTCCATTCAAATAATATTTGTCTGAGCTCAACCAAACTTGAGTTGCTCCCCCTATAAATGTAATCACCCTCTTGTTTCTTCATATCTTCTTTAGACAACTTATCAATTGTGCTAAACATGAAACTATCAAGTTCGACTTCCTTGTTCCTCGGATCCAATCTGACCTGTAAAAAGATAACCACCAAGCAAGCTCATCAACAGATCATGTCAAAGACTACTGAAAGAATGAACCAAAAACACACATGATCCTGGAAAGGGACATCTTAAGCACCTGATTCTGATACACATTGACTCGGTTTATCATCAATGCATAAAACCGTCACCACAAATCGTCAAAACCCTTACCTTGTCAAAGTTAACCACAAAGATAGAAGCAGGGCTGGGCCTATCGGGGTCTGTGTTTAGTTCGAACCCCACGGTTTCAGTGTAAAACATGTAGGAATAGAATTTTTGAAATACAGACTCCACAGCTGTAGCCTCCACTTCAAACAACGGGACCTCTCTTCCCAAATCAGTCTACAATACACCTCATCCATATCAGAGATCCATCCAAAATCACAGCATTGTAGTTCGAAAATCAATTTCGGCAATTTCAATTCAAAATCCCTTTCTCAACTCCCTAGCAGTTCCTGAAGGAAACATGGCCTCTTTCATTACCTTCTCCAGTGCAATCATCTCCGCCTGCCCAGCCTGTTTGCACAAGTGAATTACTGATGACTCGATATTTGCACATGTTTTCCCTTTTGTTTCTTGATCGTTTGAGCTTTAATTATCGCTTCTTTGGCCTATTTTACGCTAGGTTGTGTTCCTTTGTCACATTTCAGGTCCTAGCACATAAAGTGAAGCATAGGGGGAAGTTTCAAGTCAATCAGAGATCAATTGGCGATTAGCGAGAAGAAACTCGGGCATGACCTGAAGAATAATGGATTTATACCTCACTTTATGGACAAATAATCATGCAAGCTTGTCATGAAAAGAAAGAGGATGAGACTACGAGCGTCTGGGATCAAACGGCGACTGATTCGGAGTCCGGACGAGGGAGAAACGAAGCATTGAATATAGGGAAACAGGTTCGGCAGTAAAAACACGGGCGCGCCAAAATCAAAACACGGTCGTGCCCATATTTAGGCACGACCGTGTTTTGGCTGACGCGCGCGGGCGTGTTTTTAACACGGGGCAAAACATGGGCGGGGAAAAGCAAAGCACGGCCGTGCCCTCGACCGTGTTTTGCCCAGAATCGGGTTTTTTAGGCAGATTTCAGCCAAAAGAGAGGGGGATTCGAGTTTTAGAGAGACAGAGCAATTCCTAGAGAGAGAAAGCGACGAACAAGAGTTCCCAAGTGCCCTAGCTTGATCTTCATCACCATTGGAGCTTGGCTTGAGCTTGGAGAAGTGCCGATCAACGTCCAGGAGCAGGAACCCATCCTTCACAGTACGAATTCCGCGTCTGATTCTGCTTTTGCTTCTTTCTCCATGGAGTAGTTCTCCCATTCATCTGGGTATGGAGAACCCTAGATTTGTATGTTACGTTTGATTGTATGAACCCAAGTACTGATTTTATGATTTGATTATATTCAATTGAGGTTTGAATGATTGAATGGAATGAATCCTGATCAAATTCCTGTTGTTTCTGCTTTAACCTAGAATGAGAATATCTGCCTAGGTTTATAGAGCATCCTTGATTGAAGGTAGGGAGTTGGTGACTTTAGTCGAGGAGCCAACTCACTATTCTGTACCGAATTTACTTCGGTAGTGGAGGTTTTGTTCGTTAGGGCCTCAATCTGTTTACTCCGGTGGAGGTTAGTCGCCCGCTAGAGACTCAGATTGAGAGGGTCTGAAGACCTTTAGTCGAGACTTCAGGCTGTTTAAGAACCTTCCGCAGTATAACTATCATAGAAACTGAACTTGGTAATTGCAATCCGGCTCAACTGCAGTCTAGGGGGAACCATATCCGGGTGACCTCTCTTAACCTGAATACAACCGTTTAGTTGCTTTGTTTGTTTGTTAGTTTAGACTTGCATTAAAGTTTCATTGCTAGATAACAAGAATTCATCGAGTAGTCATCAAATCTAGGACCCGGGTTGACATTTAAACCCAAACCCGCTATACTACGCTTTAGGAAGTGGTTTCACTTGGCCAATTCCTAGAGTGACAGTAGGAGTGAGTCAAGTTTTTGGCGCCGTTGCCGGGGACGGCTAGGTTGTTGAAGAAAAGTGATTTCTGTTAATTTAGCTTTTCTTTTCGCATTGTTTGCTTTGTCCCACTTGTGCCTTCACTGGTTTGCTTGCTTGATCGTGTGCAGATAGTGCATGACCTGTAGCCAGTTGGGAGGTTTACTGCCGTTGAATCTAGAGCTTGAACGCACCTGTCGCCAACTCAGGAGACAACATCGAGCTAGACTGGCTACGGAGGAGCGCATAGACGGCCATTTGAGCAGCGAGTCCGAGGACGAGTACGAGATGGAAGATTACAATCCACACCAGGGGAATCCTCAGCAGGCTCCCCCGGTGAATCAAGTCCTGGGGAACAACCCCATCCCCCAGGCAGATGGGGTTCATCATCATCCACCGCCGCCGGGTACCACCTTGGAGTACTACTACACTCCACGGATTGCTGACATCCGCCCGGTCATCCTCTACCTACCTATTCCAGCGAACAACTTCGAGATCAAGCCATGCTGGATTCAACTCATTACATCCTCTATCCAGTTCCATGGCTTGAAGGATGAGGAGGCAAGGGTACATCTTTCCCGTTTTCTGCAGCTTACGAACGGGTTCAAGCTGAACGGTGTCCCTGATGATGCAATCCGCCTTCACCTCTTCCCCCATTCTCTGGCGGGGAATGCCAAAAGGTGGTTGGAGACTCATCCCCCATTGTCCATCACTTCTTGGGATGATCTGGCTGACAAGTTCGTGCTTAGGTACTACCCAGCATCGAAGACCATAGAGATCCAGCGGGAGATCACTCACTTCCGCCAAGAGCCAGACGAGTCACTTCGTGATGCATGGGAGCGGTACATGGGATATTTCTGGCAGTGTCCCCATTATGGCTTCAGTGATGCATTCACAGTGGGGAACTTCTACAGCGCTCTCTCTCCGGACAGCCAGAGGGTGATTGAGTCTCTATGCCCAGGAGGGGATATTCTTACTAAGACTCCACCCGAGCTAAACCAGATGATCAATACCTTGGCTGCCAGAGATCACTCCTGGGGGCAGAGCAGTAGAGGCAGACATTCCCGGTACCGTGGTGTGCACGCCATGGAGACCAGATTCGGGCTTGAGCAGCAGGTAGCTGAGTTAGTGCAGACATTGAAGCAGCCCAACAGTCTTATTCCGGGTAGAGGTTTGGCTACACCTCCAATAGCTCAATGTCAGTGGTGTGAGAGCTCAAATCACCTAGTGGAAGACTGCCAGGCTAGTGGAAAAACCGCTTTATTTAGATCGGGAAAAGCATACGCTTTTATGAAACCATGTGCTATGGCTCGAATCCGTAGTCAATCCTATTTCCGATAGGAGCAGTTGACAATTGAATCCAATTTTTCCCATTCTTTTCGTATCGGTAATAGTGTGAAAAGAAGGCCTTGTTCAAGACAAGAATAGTGGCCTTGATTTTCTCGACCCTTTGCCTTAGGATTAGTCCGTTCTAATCCCCAAGAGCAGTTGGACTTCATCGCCAATGCTCGGCGCCTCGACCCATACAGCAATACATATAATGAGGGGTGGCGCCAGCATCCCAATTTCTCTTGGAGCAGCAGCACCACTAAACCACCTGGTTTCCCAGCACCAGCTGGTGGTTTTCAGCAGAGGCAGCCTTTCCAGGCTAGACAGGGGCCAGCCCCACAGCATCAACACTACCAGCCTAGGCAGAGGCAACCATTCCAGTAGCCCCAGCGTCAGTATGCCGAGCCAATAGCAGCTCCTACTCCAGATAACCAAATGACGAAGCTGGAAAATATTCTAGCTTCATTCATAACTAGCACTTAGGCAACTGTCACGAGACTGGACCAGAGCATAGCCGCACTGGAGGCAGGTCAGAGGAACCAAGGTGCCATTTTGCAAGATTTGCAGAACCAGATAGGTGACATGGCTCGCCAAATTAATACCCGGGCCCCGGGAACTCTCACTGCCACTACCATCCCCAATCCACGGGAGCCGCAGCAGCTGGATGCCATTTTTACCAGGAGCGGTAAGACCATATCTGCTGATCCTGTCCCGGCCAGGCAGGAGGAACCACTACATGCTTCAGCACTTCCAGCCGACGATGCAGAAGTGCGGGTGGAGAAGGAAGCCCCTGCTCCCAAGCCACAACCAGTGGTTAAGGAGCATGTACCCCATCTTCCCTTCCCCACTCGCCTACACAAAGACAAGTTGGAGACTGAGTTTGCCAATTTTATGGCAATGTTGAAGCAGCTCAACATCAGCATACCGTTTGTGGAGGCACTGTCGAAGATGCCCAAGTACGCGAAGTTCATGAAAGATCTCCTCACCAACAAAAAGAAACTTGGGGATCTCTCGACAGTATTGCTGAGCGAGGAGTGTTCTGCTATCCTGCAGAGCAAGCTGCCCGAAAAGTGCAAGGACCCAGGGAGTTTTACTATCCCTCTTACTATTGGCAGCATGCATGTAGGCAAGTCCTTGGCGGACCTAGGCGCTAGCATAAATGTCATGCCATATAAGTTGTATAAAAAGCTAGACCTAGGTGAACTTAGCCCTACTGGGATGAGCATTCAGCTAGCTGATCGTTCCATTGTGCATCCTAGGGGGATCATAGAGGATCTGCTTGTTAATGTAGGTGCATTCACATATCCTGTTGATTTTGTTATTCTTGATATACATGAGGATGTGGATGTGCCTTTGATTCTGGGTAGACCATTTCTTGCCACCGCCAAGGCACTTATTGATGTGCATGATGGTAAACTGATCCTGCGTGCTGGGAATGAACAGGCTACTTTTTCTGTCACTGAATTCGATCACTGTGCTATGATTGCTGTCACACCTGTGCATGCCATTTCTGATCAGGTACACGAGCCTGTCGTGTATCCTTCTGCACCTCTCATTTTGCAGGACCCTCCTATCATTCCTTCGCCGCCACTCCATCCAGCCTCGCCTCCGAACAAAAAGATCAAGGAGGAGTGGCGGCCGAAGCAGCAGGTGCTAAGCCTGCACGGAAGAAAGGTGGAGACCACTACGAGCTGGTTCCACCAATTGCACCACGACCACCCTGGCCATCCGAGTACTAACTCGCCTGCATCTTGCCGGATGGCTAGGTCGAGCTGACCAATGCTGGTGGTCGCACCCGTCGGGTGCATGGCCACAACCTGAAGTTGTACCTCAAAAGCGACGTGGACCCGCTCTTGGAGTCACCTGTTCCTGCACCCCGCTGAATATCCACCATGGGCGTCCAGCTAAAAGACAGTAAAGAAGCGCTTGTGGGGAGGCAACCCCACCACGGTTTGACTTTCTTTCTTGTGTTTTGAGTCGGATTGTAAACCGGTTTGGTTTTGGTTTGTGTTCTTTTGGATGATGTATTATTGGGCTGACCATTGGACCTAACATATTGTCTTTGAGCTCTTCTGTTCCCCTTTGTGCTTTGTTCCAGACTGGTCCCTCTCCAGTTCGCTTCACTCGGCGGGTCCGCTTCCAGTCTCATGTAGTCCGTGCACACCGGTAACATCGTTCCCCTTATCCTTCCCTCTTCTCCATTGAGGGCAATGTCGATCTTAAGTGTGGGGGGGGGGGATGTTTATCTTTTGACTGCATTAGATCTGTTTGTGTGTTTGGAGCCTAGTCCACTGTCCAAATCTCGAGATTTGAGGGCTCCAAGCATTGCTGTTTGCCTGATGTTTGATCGTATTGGCACTGTGGATGTGATTAGTGAATTGAATGGCTTTTGACTTGATGCATGACAACTTGAGTGTGACTAAGACAACTTATTATGATGACTGAGATGTGCAGTAGAACTGTGTAGGGGTTCAGTTTTTCAATTGTTTGCTTACCAACGGTGACTTGGATTGATCACTTGCTTTTGACAGTCATTTATGCATCTAGTTCAGGGAATCAGAACGAGAGATAGAGCATATAGGTAGCCATGTGAGATTTGAGCCTGCTCGTTTCTTTCTTGTGCGATAGTTCCCTCTTCCATGATGTGCAGCATTCACGTTGTCATTAGCTAAGATGATGGAGGCATAGGATTAGCCCACGAACAAATTGACTGTCCTGGTGTGTCATACCCCCTAGTCAGCCCCTTTGAGCCGTGTGTTACCCTTTCTTTCGGTCTGCAATGAAAAATCACCCTTTTGCATCTCTTAGAAGGTTCCACAGAGTGGTTTAATGTGAGAGTTGGAGGTAGTTCTTAATAAGTTGGGCAGGTGTTTGAAAAATGTGCAGAGGTGGTGGTTCTCTTAAGAAATGAAAAAAAATGAAAGAAAAACAAAGAAAAAAATGAAAGCAAAAGAGAGCCACCATAAAAAATCTAAATAGTGCCCATTAAGTAGTGTTTCTCAGCGATCTGGCTTAGAAATACTAGCATTTATGTGACCTCCTTCGCTCTTGTGCTCTGAAGAATTTGAGTAATGCAGAATAGCAGGAACAAAGTTATTGGTTTGATTGACTGTGAGTTTGTTGGGTTTGGAAATGTGGAACCTTGTGCTATGAATACTTCCACCACCTAAAAGGCCTTTTCCCCATGTCCAAGACCCTAGCCAGTCATCTGAACCTGTGTCTAAGACCTCCGGATTAGTTAGTGGTGACACCCCATATGTGAACTCTAGCATTTAGAGGCAGCATTCATGGTGAAGAGACGTTAGGGATTGAGAGAATAAGCATGCGCATTTTTCGCATCAAATTGTCCTGACCCCACTTGTCGAGAGTGAGCGATTCATTTTCTCATATTCTCTATACTCTTTATCCCGGTGAGGACCTAGATTGCTCAGTCTTAATTCTGATATATTGAGCTTTGTGCATGAAGTGACTGTTTTGAATAAGTGGTTGAGTCAAGTCTATGTTGGTTGGTGAACAGAAGGGAACTCTTCCTTTGCTCGACTTTATTGCATTCGAATGTCATCTGTGGTGGTTGTCTAGGTTGTCGTTGAGGTTGTCCATCTGTTAATGATCGAAAGCCAATAATGTTCGAAAGCCAATATGATCCACGTGTTTTGTGCCGATATGATATGCCCTAAAGCCTGCTTGATTGAAACGTTTTGAGCTTACCTTGTGTTTGACTTGGTTTGCTTGGGGACAAGCAAACGGTTAAGTGTGGGGGGATTTGATGACTCGATATTTGCACATGTTTCCCCCTTTGTTTCTTGATCGTTTGAGCTTTAATCATCGCGTCTTTGGCCTATTTTATGCTAGGTTGTGTTCCTTTGTCACATTTCAGGTCCTAGCACATAAAGTGAAGCATAGGCAGAAGTTTCAAGTCAATCAGAGATCAATTGGCGATTAGCGAGAAGAAACTCGGGCATGACCTGAAGAAGAATGGATTTATACCTCACTTTATGGACAAAGAATCATGCAAGCTTGTCATGAAAAGAAAGAGGATGAGACTACGAGCGTCTGGGATCAAACGGCGACTGATTCGGAGTCCGGACGAGGGAGAAACGAAGCATTGAATATAGGGGAACAGGTTCGGCAGTAAAAACACGGGCTAAATCAAAACACGGCCGTGCCCATATTTAGGCACGACCGTGTTTTGGCTGACGCGCGCGGGCGTGTTTTTAACACGGGGCAAAACACGGGCGGGAAAAAGAAAAGCACGGCCGTGCCCTCGACCGTGTTTTTCCCAGAATCGGGTTTTTTAGGCAGATTTCAGCCAAAAGAGAGGGGGATTCGAGTTTTAGAGAGACAGAGTGATTCCTAGAGAGAGAAAGCGACGAACAAGAGTTCCCAAGTGCCCTAGCTTGATCTTCATCACCATTGGAGCTTGGCTTGAGCTTGGAGAAGTGCCGATCAACGTCCAGGAGCAGGAATCCATCCTTCACAGTATGAATTCCGCGTCTGATTCTGCTTTTGCTTCTTTCTCCATGGAGTAGTTCTCCCATTCATCTGGGTATGGAGAACCCTAGATTTGTATGTTAGGTTTGATTGTATGAACCCAAGTACTGATTCTATGATTTGATTATATTCAATTGAGGTTTGAATGATTGAATGGAATGAATCCTGATCAAATTCCTGTTGTTTCTGCTTTAACCTAGAATGAGAATATTCTGCCTAGGTTGATAGAGCATCCTTGATTGAAGGTAGGGAGTTGGTGACTTTAGTCGAGGAGGCAACTCACTATTCTGTACCAAATTTACTTCGGTAGTGGAGGTTTTGTTCGTTAGGGGCTCAATCTGTTTACTCCGGTGGAGGTTAGTCGCCCGCTAGAGACTCAGATTGAGAGAGTCTGAAGACCTTTAGTCGAGACTTCAGGCTGTTTAAGAACCTTCCGCAGTATAACTATCATAGAAACTTAACTTGGTAATTGCAATCCGGCTCAACTGCAGTCTAGGGGGAACCATATCCGGGTGACCTCT